GCTTCTTTCCCGGATTTGACAGAAACCGACTAACAACACCAACTGCATGGGCAATATCTGGCCTTGTACACACCATGGCATACATCAAACTTCCAACATCTGATGCATATGGAACTCTATCCATGTCTTCAATCATCTTCTTAGTATAAGGGCAATCTCTATCAGTTAACTTAAAGTTGGTAGTTAGAGGCGACCTAACCACTTTAGCTTTATTCATGTTGAATTTGCAAAGCACCTTCTCAATGTATTGCTCTTGTGACATATGCAACTTCTTTGAAGCTCTATCTCTAGTAATCCGAATGCCAAGAATCTGTTTTGCTGGTCCTAAGTCTTTCATAGGAAAAGACTTGCTCAACTATTTCTTTAGCTGAATAATTCTCTCTACATTCTTGCCAACAATCAACATATCATCAATATAAAGCAATAAAATAATGAAATCATCATCACCAAACCTCTGGAAGAAAACATAGTGATCTGAAGTAGTCTTGCGGTAGCCTTGCTCACCCATGACTGAATCAAATTTCATGTACCACTGTCTTGGTGCTTGCTTCAACCCATAAAGACTTTTCTGAAGCCTACATACATAGTCTTCTTTTCCTTTAACCTGAAAACCTTCAGGTTGCTCCATATAAATTTCCTTGTCCAAGTCACCGTGAAGGAAAGCTGTCTTGACATCCATTTGCTCAACCTCAAGATCAAGGCTAGCAGCCAAACCAAGAATCACCCGAATGGAACCCATCTTCACGACCAGAGAGAAAATCTCATCAAAATCAATACCATTTCTTTGACTGAACCCTTTGACCACAAATCTAGCCTTGTACCTAGGCCGTGAGGTATGTTCTTCAGTCTTCACTTTGTAAAACCACTAGTTCTTCAAAGCTCCCTTGCCCTTAGGCAACTTCACCAACTCAAAAGTATTATTTTCATGTAAGTAATTCATCTCATCTTGCATAGCTTCAACCCACTCTCTTTTATGCTCATCTTCCATAGCCTCTGAATAAGAATCTGGCTCTCCCCCATCAGTGACCAGAACATACTCATCAGCAGAATAATGGGTGGAAGGATGACGATCTCTCATAGACCGCCTAAGTGGGACAAATAGTGGTATATCAGGTACCGGCAACTCTGGATGAAGATCCTCATCCAACTCTGACTGCTCTGGAACATCATTGTCATCAGTATCATGTTGTTCATCATTCTGAACATCTTCATTAATTGGCTCAAAATGTTGAGAGGAACCGTTCCAAATCAACATGATCATCAGTAGATTGGGGAACTATCTTTGCCTTCTCATCATCTTTTAAACTATGATCTTCAACAAATACAACATCACGACTCCTTACGAGTTTCTTCAGAATTGGATCATATAACCTATAACCGAATTCATCTTCGCCATAACCAAGGAATATACATGGCTTGGTCTTCACATCAAGCTTTGATCTTTTATCTTTAGGAATATGTACAAAAGCCTTGCATCCAAAGACTCGTAAATGACGATACGAAACATCTTTGCCACTCCAAACCCTGTCAGGAACATAAAAAGACAAAGGAACACAAGGAGTAAGATTAATAACATGTATTATCGTATTGAAAGCTTCTCCCCAAAAAGAATCAGGCAATTCTGCATGTGAAAGCAAACATCTAACCCTTTCACCCAAAGTTCTATTCATCCGTTCTGCTAAACCGTTCAACTGTGGTGTCTTTGGAGGAGTCTTTTGGTGCCGAATACCATGCTCTCTACAATAAGCATCAAAAGGACCAATGTATTCACCACCATTATCTGTCCGAACACACTTCAATTTCTTCCCAGTTTGTCTCTCAACCAAGGAATGAAACTGCTTAAACACATCCAATACTTGATCTTTAGTCTTCAAAGTATAAACCCATACTTTCCGTGAATAGTCATCGATGAATGTGACAAAATACAAACAACCCCCAAGTGTCCTAGTCTTCATGGGACCACATACATCGGAATGTACCAGATCAAGTATATTCTCCTTCCTGGAAGGAGGATGGCTCTTAATGGAATCTCTATTTTGCTTACCTGCTAGACAATGAGAACATGTCTTCAAATTCACATCATGCACGCCGGTCAACACATTTTTCTTCAATGATAAAGACATCCCCTTTTCACTCATGTGACCAAGTCTCTTATGCCACAAATCGGTCATGTCACAATGTATCGATGCATGGATCGATTCTTTGGAGATCTTCGGATGTTTCATGTATAACTTTGAGCTTCTTTCACCTCTTGCCACGATCAAAGAACCACGAGTGAGTTTCCAAATGCCACCACCAAAGGTACTATGGTAACCGTCATCATTAAGTAAGCCAGCAGAGATCAAACTAAGTCTAATATATGGAACATGTTTTACTGTGACATCCCCATTTTCACGGCCAGAAAAGACCGATTTTGTTTATGCTTTATAAAAATCAGAGTACTTCTTTTAATAAAATGTTGCGGAATTTGTTCCCAGTAAAACATGATAAATACGTTATCAAAGCATTTCCGAAGAAATGTGTTTTTATTCATTTTTGAAACATTTGGGATGTCATCGTCTATACAGAAACATAAGCATAAACAGAACTTACATTCATTTACACTAGTGATCTACATCCCTTTAAATCTCGCAGTGTAATGTAACTTCATATCGACACCTGTGATAGAAATAAGCTGGAGTGGGTCGGGTTGGGAAACCTGGTGA